TGAGCAAGACAATGGGATGGCACATACAGAAGGCTGAAAGAAAACAGTCTGCCAGCGAGGATCCTGTACCCAGCAAAGCTGTCTATAAATATGAAGGAGAAAATAAGCTATTTGTAGAAAAGCAAGAACTTAAGCTATCTGTAGAAATGAGATCAACTCAGAGACAGCAAAGTGGCTGCAAGAAAGTATCCAGCAACAGGTAAAGGAACACAGCAATACTGCAGTCCTAAAAACTGGCCTGTCAATAATGCCACTCAATGTGAACAGTTTAAACACACCCATTAAGAGAACGAGAAGCAGACTGGATTACAAACATCCATATGTGCCCTACAAAAGACATATCTATGTGGAGAAATGAGACACTAAGACTCACAGGGTGGAAAAAATAAAACTAAACAAATGGTATCCATAAAATAGCAAGACTGGCAATATTACATCTCAGAAAAAAAAAACCAGACTTTGATGTGAAAATCACCCACAGGAAAAGAATGGCTAGATAATGAACACTGCATTGGAACCAATAAGGGGAATATATGTGTAACAACAATCTGGAACAAGACATGTATTGCAAAGTGGACTGGAAGAGGAGGTAGGGAAGAAAATGTGCAACAATGAATAAAAAAAATAATTGAAAGAGATGATACTATATAATGAAAAATTAACAAGCACTAAATTTTAAGAGAAAATGTTCATGTTAGTTGGGTTTAAATGTCTCCCACAGACTACCTATAGCTGCCAATTACAAAGGTGCTCTGGGGCAGAATGGAGAGAGCTGGACTGACAACCCAAAGGCAGGTGGTTGAAATCCATCAGCTGCTCTGCAGGAGAAAGACGGGCAATTTCTGACCTCACAACTTACAGCCTTTGAAAAATTTGCCGGAGGGTCAAGTCTGAGTCATTTCTAATCCACCACCAATGAAGAGGATGACATAGCCACCAGCAGCTCCCTGGGAAAAAAGCAGCGATGCGCTCCTGTGTGATTTACAGCCTCTGAAAATCCAGTGGTGTTAGCAATTAGCTAAGCTGAAACACTGGGGAAATGAAACACTTTGATTAGGTGGCCAAACCATATCAAAAGAGTGACAGCAAATTTAAAAGCAATGAAACAGTATTAATTTAAATTTATAATCATTTTATGACGGAATCTCCCCATTTTGGAGGGAAATTACCTACAAATAGTTCAAGGGGGAAAAAATGTAGCAAGGGGAGCAAAGAGAAAAAAAATAAAATGGTTAGCCCTAGAAAAATTTTGCATGAGCATTAACTGCTCTGGGATTCTCATTCTTCTCAATGTTAGCCAAACTTTGCTATGATCCACAGTTAAATTGTTTTTGCATTCTGGTATTCTCTGCTTTTTTGCCAGGATTCATGTGAAATCAGTCTGTAATGGTATCTCTGATGCAGCAGCCTCTTTTAAATCCATTTGAACCTTCTGGCAGTTCCCTGTTAATGTATGTTCTAGGTGTTTTTTGTGTGATATTCGGCAATGTTTTGCTTGCATGTGATATTGTTTGGTAATTTCCAAATTCTGTTGGATCTTAAATTATTTTCATACAAGACCTATACCTAAATCAAGAAACTCTTATCTGAACAGAACATGGTGTAAAATCAGAAAAAGTGTGTCGGGGCTGAATCCTTTTTTCTTACCTATTTAACGTGTATGCTGAGTAAATCATTTGAGAAGCTGCACTCTATAAAGAACGTGGGATCAAAATCAGATGAAGATTCAGCAGCGGCCGGCGTTATGCAGATGATACCACACCTTGCCTGCTGAAAGGAAGGCCGGTTTGAAACATTTGCTTCAGAAGATCAAAGGCTAGTCTTCAATCTGAATTCATCTCAACATCAAGACGACAAACATCCTAACCGCTGGACTGATAAGCTTCATGACAGATGCAGAGATTGAAACTGTCAACGATTTCATCTCTCTTGTATCCACAATTAACAGCCTTGGTAGGAGCAGACAGGAGGTCAGAAGACATGTTGCATTGGACAAGTCTACTGTCAGGGACTGCTCCAAATTACTGAGGAGTGATGTTAGCTTGAAGACTAAGTTGCATTTGATTCAAGACGTGGTATTTCCACTCACTTACTATGCACCTGAGAGCTGGATAAGGAGGGCAGAAGAATTGAAGCCTTTAAGTTGTGGTGTTGGAGAAGAATTCTTCATATCCCGTGGGCAGTTATGTCTTGGAGTCAGAAGGCTTCTTGGAGGCAGATGACTAAGCTTTGTCTCACATATTTTGGGCGTGTTGCTAGGAGAGGTTATTCCCTGAACAGGGAATGCTTTTTGCAAGGGTGCCAAAGACGGTAAGGATGGCACAGGACAGGACAGGACAAGGGTCAGACACGTTGTGCATAGTCTCTTTATGAGTGGCACTCAACTGGACAGCACTTAAGAACAGAAAAATCTGGGTGAAAGTTACAGACGTAGTTTTTTTGTACTATTATTCTCTCAAATTTGCCATAAATCTGGAAGCTTTTCATTGAATAATGACAGAGAATGGATACTAAGTGGTCAATTTTGTTTTGTCTAATAAATTTATTAAGCACAATCATGAGTTCTTAAAATACTGCCATATAACTTTCTTTTTTTTTTTTTAAGTATGAGAGGCTATCTTAAATATCTGAAACATAGCAATACCCTCCAAATAAAAGTGTGTGCTGAACCACAAACCTTTCAGGGAGCACCAGTGTTAACTACTCACATCACCTGGAAGGCTCCATGTTGGAACTAGGAAACCAGTACTGTAACAAGGTATATTCTTGGCAATGGAGGAAGTGCAATGGGAAGAGAAGAGGGTCTGGAGCCAAAAGCTAAATTCAAATTTTAAATTCCATTTCAATAGTTATCAGATGTATAACTCAAGCTACACTAGTTTCCTCATGTATAAGGCAGAGAGCTGTAAGGATTACGTGAGATTCAGTTAGGAGAATTCAATGAAGGAAATGGACCTAGACCAGGAACAGACACAGGGAAGTGGCTCATTTGCCTCTTACTTTCTACTCGAGCTACCTTCTATTTTGTGGAGATATGTGAGAGTAGGCAATGCGGTCGTTCCTTTTCCATTCACCCAAACCATGGTCTAAAGCAATTACCTAAGAAAAATATCCTGAGTACGGGTGCTCTGGTGCCTAGTGGCAAGAAGCTGTGATGCAGGCCCAAAGGCCCAAAGGCATGCTGGTCAAGACCATCACATGCTCCGGGGGAGATGGACGGGCAGTCTCCTCCCATATGATGCACCGCCTCTGAAACCCTGCCAGAGCATCAGCTATGGGGTGGTTCCGACTCCACAGTCCACAACAACAACATAAGCCTTCTTAAACCAGAGAGAAAGGGATGGTGGGATGAAAATATAAAAGGCTGAAGCTCTGGTGACCTAGAGGGTGAGGAGTGTGCTCTCAACTCAAAGGTAAGTGGTTCAAATCCACCAACTGCTTCACAAGAGAAAGATGGTAACCTTTTCCTAGCACAGCCTTTGAAAATTTGCTTGAAGGTCAGCTGTTGAGTAGGTCCTAACTCAATGGCAATGAGGTTTTGGAGTTTTGACAAAAACAAGTGATTTCGGTTATGAGTGGTTTGACGGAGGAGGATGAACCGGGAAGATGACCGTAGCTTTGTATCGGAAAGGCTGCTTCTGCAAATAAAGAAACACCTTCTTCATAAACCTACTCTATTTTGCAAGCTATCATCTACTTATAAAAGTGCATAATTCATTCTTAAAACTGTAAAGATCATCAATTGTTTACTGAAATTATCAAACCAGTAAAAAGAAAATGCCCATCAACTAAGATAATTCATCAAATGATCTATTATTTTGTTTCTTTCCAAATAGTACATGCATAAATTTAAAATTTTATATTGCCAATGAGTTAATACTTTAAGAATATTTTTAAATGGATAAAATGTTTGTAAAAAAATTTATTATTAAAAAAGCCAAATCATGTTGCCAATGGAAATTTAGTTTAATATTTAAAGTCTTTATACAAAATTAATGTATTCTGCTTTCCTTTAGGAAAAAGAAAAAATGAAATCATCACTTATCTCTGATAGGGAATTTTCTTAAAATTTCTCAACGGTGGGACAAAATTGCATACTTAGAATGTATACAGAGCAGCACGGATAAAAATCTGAAACTAGTATTGCAATAGCTTCAAATGAGTAGTAACAGTGCCTATTTGATGGGGAGGGGGAAAGAGTGCAGAGTCTATTATCATCACTTGAGTTTTTTTGAAATAAAATTTGATGTGACCAGAATTTAGAAAGTAACACCATGATGTGAAGATACCATAAAACTGGTATCCCTTTTCTGATAAATTTCTTAAGACAAGCTGGAAATAATGGGGGTGGGGGGGGTGGGGAAATTCAGTATTTCATATGCAGTAATTAATGCAAATATTCCCACTGACTACTTTTTTGCCCAAATTGATTAAGGATGGAGAAAGATAAACTCTTACTTTGTAGTATCTGATAAACTACAAATATGATACCATTAGAAGTTCTTCAGACAATATTATCAATGTTTAGGTTTTCTGATTTCACACATACATACACATAACGTACACACATGCATTTTTTTCAAAGTAAAGAAATATTTTAACAGATGTAAACTATTTATTGAATATTTGCCACCAAATATTGTTAAATACATTATCTTGCAGCATATCGCTTTCAAGTTAAAATGTCAGAAACAAACACCAATATTTACAATTCTTTTAAGGAATGTTATATAATGACACATTAAGGCGTAAATTCTTTTGGCTTATAATTCTTAAAAGAATGATAATAGCAAAAGTGATGCAAAATCTTCAGTGTGAGATTATGATTAAGCTACATTTTACAAAAATATGGTGTAAGATGGCAATAATCCCATTCAACATCCTGGATTAGGTCCCTTCAGCAGGGACTGATAATTTATACAGTCAAACTTTAAAATTTACAGATAAAGACAGTTCAATACTGCCAGTGAGAAGTACGTGTCTCTTAACATATACAACTTTCAGGCCACAGTTTTGAAGGTCTGAAGTATCAAGTTGGTTTGATGAATTAGTCGGTTGGCACTTATAAACACATTTATTGCCCTGTTAAAAACAAAAGCAAATGTTAACGTCAAAGAAGTAAACAAACAAACAAAACACTAAAAACCAAGTCATCCTTTAAAAAGAATTAATAAATGTCATCTATTAATAGTAAGACTTAAAGTAAGTAATATATTATGGTACCTTTTAAAAAGAAAAACAAAAAGAAAGTGGCATCCAGTTTCATCACTTTTCATCTACCTTGAAGCTTAATGGGCCAGCATCATTTAAGACTACCTAGGAATTACTGCCCCCTGGTGGTTCTGGCTGGCAATAGGTGGCCACTCACCACCTCTGAGATGGACCAGATTCATAGCTGACCCTCCAGTGGGTTTTTGGAGGCTGTAAATTACACAGGAGGAGACTCCTCATCTTTCTCCCTCAGAGAGACGGGTGGATTCAAACCACCAGAGATGCCATCCTTGAACTGGCAACGCATCTTTCCACCCACACGTGAGGGTGTCAGACAGCTAAGAACTCATAATGTAGATAGAACAAATGCAGTTGTGGTCTCCAACTGTGGTTTAATTAAAGTTACCAAAATAAAACCTGTACTACTTCCAGTCTCACAATCTGTAAGTTAGAAGACACGATGAAGAAACAAGGGAAAAGTTCGTTCCTTCTAATCTGATTCATACCAAAGTTCATTATTTTTTTTTTTTAAAAAAAGAGGATTCTAAACTACTTCTAAAATTCATTTAAAAATTATAAAATATGAAAACCATGAAGTTTTTAATACTTGGGGGCTAACAACACATAAAAGTTCATTTTATAAGAAGGTTTTGTGCTCCGCCGTATTTTCCTATGGATCTATCTTATCTATGTATGGGATGGGAACACAAAGTGACCACGAGTCCCATTGAGTGCCCTTATCAATGTCCTTTAGAAACTGTTAAGTGGGAAACTAATTTGTTTTGTGAGCTTTCATGTGACTCATAATATTTTTAAAAAAAATTAGAAAGATGACTTATAGGTCAGATTCCATCAAAAATTTTTTTCGTTTTTAGGAACGAGCAGGTCTAAAAGTGGAAGAACATTATTCACAAAGACGAGTAACTGAAAGCTGCAGCTGCTGAATGAAGACGCAAGGGAGGGGCCTGAAGAATACCACACATGCAGGGCGAACACTTGAGATGAATGAAGGAGGCTCTGAATGGATTTCTACTTTCCACTATGTTAATTCTATTATAGTCATAATTAATTAGAATCAGGAATAATGATTTTTCTATTATGTAAATTATCCTTTTATTGTTGGACGTAAGATAGGAGACACAGAAAAAACAGATGTACGCTTATTTTCAGAACACACCTGCTTATTAAAAGCAAGTCTCCAAGGAGCATTTCCCCTCACCAACCTGAGCACTAGTATGAAGTAATACAAAACCATTAACAAAATGCAGCTTAGTACTTTTAATTAAAAATAAAAATATTTTAATTTGCACTGTTTAACAAAAACTAGGAGAAAATCATACTATTATTTTACTACTTATTACTAAAGTCTTATTACAATAAAAATGTAATGGTGAGACAGGCATACAGGGGTGTTAAAAATTTCAAAATATTTGAGGTCCTGCCCTACTATGATTGAAATAATCATTATCTAGATTATTTTCCTGACTTCAAGAACTATGAGAAAATAGTCTTTCCTAAATATGATGCTACGGAATCCAAGTTTGCTTACCAGATTGTACATAACGAGTACAAACACACATTAAAAGTGTATTTCTAATTATAAAAGTTATCTATGGCCATTATAGAAAATTTGACACAAAAAAAGGAAAATAAAAATAGACATATCTGTACCCTGCTGTCTGCCTGCCTTCAAGGGACCATGGTGGTCCAGGGAGCTGTGGCTGGGTGGTATTGTGCTGCCAAACCAAAGACACACAGTTCAAATCCGCCAGCAGCTCCGTGACAGAGAGATGGGCAGTCTCTCCTGTGTAATTCCGACTCACTGGTACACAACTCCCACAGCAACTTACAGCCCTAGAAGCTTATGGTCCACTATGACCTACCGTAGGGTCATGAGTCAGGATGGGATCTGAAGGTAACAAGAACTTCTGGGTTCCTCCTACTCATTTTAACACTAACACATACTTTAAAAAAAACTTAGATATCTATTATATCTTAGAACCAACAGGGTGTAAAATAATGGCCAATACACATTCTAAACATACCGCTTCTCTTATAGAACGACAATGCAAAAGCAGATCACCTCCTCTCCTTACAGAATAGAACACAATCCTTACGGCATTTACAATCACACTTCACATCACACACTGAGGTTTTCCCCAAACTGCTCTCAAGGGATTCTACTGTGCAGCCAGGGTCCAAAAGCGCTGCTAACACTTCTGCTGTCTTTTGAGGACCAGCAGCACCCAGAAACTAACTCTTCAGTCCCTCTGTTGACCTACTGAACAACTTGAAATATATAGACCTAAAGTTGAGACCAGAACATCTTTTGTTAATAAGACTTCTAGGTGATTCAAGGAGCTCTGGTGGCAGAAGAGGGTGAGGTTAAATGCTAGGCTGCTAACCGCAAGGCTGGCAGTTCAAATCTCCAGCCAGCTACTGAGGTGAGAAAGCGGTGGCATTCTGCTATAATTAAAACATACAGCATCAGAATCCTCATGAAGGGCTATCTTATATAGTGGGTTTACTGTTCAAAACTGCTTCCCAGTCCACTGGCTTTGACTTTTGCCACAAGGCTGCATGGAACCATGAAATAAGCGTGTATAAATTTGTGATGGGATGGTTAACCTCCCCATCAGAAGCTAGGAATTTCACTATCAGCATGAAAGGAGAAGTAGAAAATGCAGTACATAACTTTCAAGGCCAGAGACTCCTGCACCAGTTAGACTGAGCATAACAGGCACAATGGAGAAGAGGGGGCCAACAAGAGACAGAGCTGATGTGGGACTAGTCTCCTGTGGAGTCAGAGCCAGGGACCTTCGCTCAAGCTCCTGGAGGACATGAGAGGAGCTGCCATAAGTAGCAGCAGTAAGAGCTTTAGACCACTATCTAGGCCGTGAGGCTGACGGTCACAGGGCTGTCAAGCTTGATTAGCTGCCTTTGACTGGGGAATTGTATCCTCTTGCCCGAATGGCAACCCATTAGCTTCCTTAATAAACTTCTTCATAGGAAGTACAGTTACGCGAGATGTCTGGTGCCAATGCAATGGCTTCACATCCAGTAACCGAACAGTGAGAGCCCTTGGTTGGTGCTGCTGTACAGAGGGACTTGTGGGTTAGGGCACTGCTAAAAGCTATGCCTTGTGTCAAACGAGGGTCACTCATGCTAGAGAGGTGTCAGAAGATCTCCCAGATTCAGACAGACTGGAAGGCAGGGATGGTCACCCCCTTTTTAAACAGCAGGCCTCTGAAAACTATGCACATCATTACAACTGACCAACTGTCAAGGAGTCAACTCCTCCCCACAGGAACCCCAGGACATGTCAGAGTTGACCACGCCTGTCTGTCTTCTCTTATTAGTGGTTATCTGTTTATGTTTTGGGGGTTGGTAGTCAGTAAAGCAGGCCAGTAGTTCAGAGTCCAGGCAGTAATTTTTACATACTTAATTCAGGTTTCCTGGTTCCATTATTCACAATGCATGGACATTCTCACATTTTCATTCTGGTTGCTCTAATTCCATTCATTTGGTTTTCCATCCCCCTCCTTTACCATTTCCTCTTTATTTAACATACTTGCTGATGAGCTGTGCGCATATGGATTATTTTTTTTATTTATTAATTTTATTGTATTATTTTTACATGTACCGTCAAATCAGATCTGACTGGTACAGGAAGGAGATTGCACCTCCTTCTCCAGCAGAGCATCTGGTGGATTTGAACCGTGTGCCTCTGGGATTGCAGTGCACCTTCTTGCCACTAGGCCACCAGAGCTCCCTTCAAATGGATGATTTTTAAAAGGATCACAGCACTCTTTGTGAGCCAATTTGCTATTTAGTAAAAAAATGGCCTTAACTACTTTTGTTTCAAGGTTTAAGAAATATCTCAAGGCAATAACCTCCAGAAATCCTCCAGTCTGAACTGGTCCAATAGATTTTATCTCTTGAAGAATCTGAATTTCTGTTGTCCGTTTCCCCCCTCATTTTATTAGGACTCATCTACTGTAGCCCTAATTACCTATCTGGTTGTCTACGGCTGACATTCTGAGTAGACATCAGATCTGTCTTAGGAGGCGCAGAGTAGACTCATGCAGGCAAACTTCCTATTAACAGTGACTCAAACAAAGTATCATTTTAATGTAATATAAACCCCTTATTTCAGGTTTTGAAAAAGCACGGTAATAATGATGGTACTTACTTGCCATCTTTAAAATAGGTTTTCAGAGTATCACTGAAGCTTTTGGAGTACTTTACAAACTCTTTCTTTTGATGTTCAAGTGCCTACATAAAACAGACAATAGCAATAAAACATTATGAAATCAAATAAGTCAAACACTGGGAGTTACCCAGAAAAATGGGATGAAGTTTATATTATAAATTATCATTCTGGGATTATTTACTTAAATAAATATAATAATAAACTAATAATAATAATACTAAATAGCACATTTAACAATTTAATTTGAATAAGTAAATAGCACATTTAATTAAAGACAAACCCAACAATTAATGGTACAAAACTATACAGCCGACTGCCAAACTCTCAAGGTATTTAATTCAATAAAATGACAGGGTGCAAATCAATACCTAGGTTCCTAGGCAAGCAGCAAATCCTCTGTAAAGACTTACCCTGCGATTCTGGTATTGGTATTTCTTGAAGACATTATTCACTGTATCAAGCAGTTCTTTTATTGCACTAGCTATATCCCTGTTAGGAAACGGAGGAGGGAACAAAAGCATTTTTTTAAAAAAATCAGTTGTATCTGTGTGTACGTAAATAACTGGCAATATTACATTCTTAATTACCACACACTGTGCTAAGGGCAAACATTCAGCCTGGTGTTCGCGATGAAGGTTTCTGTCCGTACCCTTTGTGGATCCTGACTTCCCCTGCACTGCTCACCAAACACTGCCAACTAACACCCATTTTCCCAAATCAGTAGCCTTTTATCCCCTACTATTTATGTAAATCTATACAACAAAGTAAGCATACGTCTGTTTGCCTTTCTAGTTCTGATTTTCCCTTTCTTTGGCAAATGGTGAACTCAAGTTGCTCTATTTTCTTCACTTCACAGTTCATGAATTTTTGCCATTACACATAACTCATTTTATTTACTAACAGTACAAGTTTTGTTATTACATGGAGCTCATTTTAGTTAGAACCAGTACATCACTAACAGCTGGGATGTTTAAATAAAGGATTTCCTCTGAAGAAGTCCCTCTCTTCTCTTAGAACTATTTCTCTTTCATCTCAACAGTGACTACTATCCTAATCCAAATCTTTGCTGTCACTATTTCCTTTGAAAAATATATTCAAATTGCTAGAAGAGACAATGCCAGAATATTCTTCTGCTTTAACCTTTTAAGCAATCACCCTTTGACTATATCAGTATCAACACCTCCTCTCCTTTCTAAAGAGAGAAATTCTTATTTGAGTCAACTCTTCTTCCTATCCAAGAGGGGTTTTTCTGTTTGGTATTTTTTTTAATCTATGTCCTTTTCAAATTCTATATCCTAACTGCATAGCAACTTTTCCTTTCCTGTCATATTTAACTTTATGAAATTCTGCATTCTCAAACAGCCTCATATTTTCTCAGGCAAGTCTCCTCTTTTCCACATCTATTCTCCTGGCCGTGAAATTACAATGAAACATAAAATTCCAAATCCTCCTTTTAGCTTTAGTATGGCGGAAGGAGATGGTAGCACGAGGAAAAAGCTCAGTTTCCAGAGGTGTGTTTGTTTTACAGCCTAGTTGTCCCATGGAAACTTTTTAAGAATTATGGATAGAAGTGTTTCGGTAAAATTAAAAATAATCTTTCCTATTATGAAAACAGTAATTTACTGTTTGCAGTCAAACATCAGCCTTCAACTAGTAAAAAAATATTATCCACTTGTTGATCTCTCAACTTGAGTTCAAAGTTGTTAAGAGCCAATGGAAAGATTACATAGAAACCGTAGAGGACAGTGAGTTTATGTCCCTGGGAGGAGGAATCGCTCCAATGAGGAGGATGAGACTGTGTAACTTGAATGCAATGAAGATCACTGACTTGCACATGCAGAAACTGCTGAGCTGGGATACATTACGCTGCGTGTGGGCTCTGACGGCCTAGTTCGCAGGAAGGAGCGCTGCTAACCCAAAGGCAGCCAGTCCACAGGACAACGATGGGCAGTCTCCTCTCCTGCTACTTCCATCCCAAGAAGCACGCTGGAGCTTTGACTTGGTTGCGACTTGAGAAGAACTGAGTTGAATTACTGTGTATATTTTCAATTAACAACAACAAAACACAATTTCTAACAGAAGATGTAAGTTACAGAACTGTTCCTTTCATGCTTTCAAGCGAAGCTGAATCCTGTACTGCTGTGCATACATCCGCTACTGGTGAAAAAATACCCTATGAATATTCTATTAGCTAAAAAAAAAACCCCTGCAATTTCAAGAACAGAAAACGTCAAATCTCTGAATACTCAACGTTCTAAGCCTACAATGAGGGCTATTTAAAATGCAAGGTAACACACTAAATTATAATTTTTCAGCCAATTAAGTCTCTCTTCCAAATACTATGTTAAGAAAATGATGATAAAAATGTGATTTCAAGGCTGGGCAATAAGATGAACACATGGTCCAAATACAGTATTAAAAGCAGCAGCACTTCATCGGTCAAAAAAAGCCATTCTCAAAGTGGTTTCCTGATCACTCAGTGCAGGAGTTAAGAAAAAAAGAAGGGAGATCTTGCTGAACTCTACCCCCGATTTATTAAAGGACCATGGCGACCTGGCTACACCTGCCAGAAGGCGGCTTCCCCAGGAGGCTCTGCAGCCAATCAGCAAAAGTTGCTCAGCACCTTAGGTACACGGGGCAAAGCAGTAATGTTACCAGATCTGTTACTGGTCAGAGCCTGAGAAAGCATTCTGTCCATGAAGGCACTTCACCCCTACACCTCGTCTCCTGCCTGATACAAGACAAAGTACTTTTCATTACTTCTTAAAGTATGAAAAGCCATCGATAGCAATTTTATGTTAACGAGTATGTCTAAACACAGACATAGACAGAACAGCATTTGTATTTACAACAGCGAGGTTTACAGTAGAAAAGGGAAATTATATTAGCAGCTACCTAAATGGCCTTTTCGGTCTCTATGAGATAATATCAGCATTAAAAAAGCCCAAACCAAACATCAGTTAAACAGGCCAACAAGTACAGCAAATGTGGTAGAATACATCCCGTGAAACTATGCAAGCACAGTTTCTGGGTTCAATGATAAGGGACAAACAGAGCGGGGGGAGTGAGAATGGAACACTCTGCTGCTGTTCTCGTGGGACAACTTCCGGGAAACCAATACACTGAAGTAAAAAAAAAAGCCACACTCCAGGCAGTAGATAAAATGCAAACATTTATATTACAAACTCCCCGCCCAAATAAAGCTTCTAATCAGGCCACCCTAATTTGACAAAATGACTATGCAAATACTCTACAGGAAGAAAATTCTTAACTTGAATGTTTCCTTTGGTGTTGGCCAGACACCTCTTGAAAAGATATTCTGTAGCCATTATGAATATTCCTGACTTGAGACAGAAAAAACGCCAGTGAATTTTAGTCTAAGAATACACAAATTAGGTTATAAAAAGGAAACGGACAAATGCGTAACTTTGTGGTCCAATAAATCTTAACTCTATAGTAATTGGAATAAAGTAGATTTCAAAAAAGATTAATTAGGTTTATAAAATATTTGTACAAACTCAGTGAAGAAGTATTCATTAATTGGAGATTACAACTTAGGTCTGCTGATATATTTTTTTAAAATATTTGCTACATGTCAGGGATCTTTTTTCTATTTTAATATAATATAAAATAGCACTTGATGTAGTAGGTAAAGGTCTACTAAAAAATATGGCTAAAAAAATATAACTACCTTAAATGTAAGGAAGTAAAATGTTTTAACTGTAACCATACAATACATTGTGTCTAAAGGCAAAAATATTTTTCCATTTTTAACACAATCTAAAGTGGCATTCATAATTTATCAAACAATAATTAATGGCAACAAGAGTTAACCTTTATTAATTTAGTATCACAGGAATAGAAGTACATCATGTGTAGGCCAGCTTCCTTATACAAGGCTAAATTTTCAAAAGTAATAAATAATCACTGCATTTTTTTTCTCATGGCACATTATCCTCTGAAAATAGTTACAATACAAAGTCTCATTGCCATTGTCACTAACTAAGTGATGAAAAATAATACACCTCATAAAACAATTAAAATATCACTGTTGTCATGTACTGTTGGAACCAACTCAGAGTCAACCCTCCAAGTGGTTTTCAGAGGCTGTGAAAGGCACAGGAGAGACTGCCTATCTTTCTTCCACAGAGCAGGCAGCCTTTGTGTTGGCAGTGCAACTCCTTACCGGTCAGACACCAGAGTCAGACACCAGAGCTCCATTTTGAAATGTTATTATTCCCATATAAATGCTGTTGTTGTGTACCTGAGTCAGAACCAACCCACAGCCGACCCAGCAGTGGGTTTTCAGAGGCAGTAATGGTTCAGGAGAAGAAAGTCTATCTTATGCCACGGAGCAGTTGAAGAATTCGAACCACATGCCTTTGGGCTGGTAGTACCTTACCATTTAGTACACTACCAGAGCTCTTATAAATGAGGAAGCCTGGTTTAGCTTCTTTCAATGACTCTGCACGAGACTCAGGCTCTTCTCAATGTTCTCCTCCTGACTGAAATACAGTTACATAAAATAGCTCTAAATCCAATCTCCTTCAAGTCACAGAACGTCTAGCAGGGAACTTAAGGAACTTTCAAAGCATGCAGCAGGAGGAAGGTTGTGGGCCTGCCAATTCTACCTCAACTTCAATCACAACACAGATCCCACTTCTTTCAAATAGCAAAAAAGATTCCCCATCATCAGATTAAATCACTATGTCTGGGAAGCAACAGAGAGGTCTCTGGATCCAGACGGCTTGGATTCGAGTCTCACTGCACCACGTACTGGCTCTGTGTGGGCTTCAGTGTCCTCGTCTGCTTTGGGATGCTGTGAGGATGAAGTAAGCTAACACACAGACAGTACTTAGACGAGTGCTGCTTGTTATTACGTGTGTGGGGGGCGGGTGTCACAGCGGACCCTCCAGGGGGTTTCAGAGGCAGTTAAGTGCACGGGAGGAGACTGCACATCTTCCTCCCATGAAGCAACTGGGGGATTCAAACCTCTGGGTTCCTGGCACCACCTCTTACCACTAAGTTATTAAATTCTACATAAATGACTGTTGTTATTAAGATGATGCCAATTTGATTAATCTCTACTTCAGTGTTCTAAAGCAAAGCTTGCTAAAAATATTCTTTTAAGTGTTAAAGCTTCTTATGAATGTAATATGACTCATCAAATATGTGACTATCAAAGTAAATGAAAATTTAAATAAATTGTTTTAAAACTCTAGAAGTTATTCAAATAGCTGAGTTTGAGATCACTAATAATTATTTTATGAGTCAACCATGTTTACTTTGACTACATCAGACTAAAAATAACAGTGCATAAATAATTGTCTGTTTTCCTCCTCTCACACATTAAAAAGAACTAAAAGAAGTTAAAGCCTGCTTATAAAGGTGAAATATAAACTACTATGAGATATTTTGGCTATTTAAAGCGATCTTCTTCCATCCTGGTCACTGGGTTAAGTACAATCAACACTACTTTCTACAACAGGACCTACTTCTGTCTACAGTCCACTTACAAACTGGTTAAGAGAGCACTTCTGACGATGAATTACAAAGACTACTACTTCAAAGAGATGTGAATAAGGCCTAAGCTAGTATTTTCCTTCTTGGCCATTTCTACTACGGTTGTGTCTCAAGACTGTACTCTTCCTGCCACGATTTTCAGTACTGGTTTCTACTCCTTGGTACTGGAGAAAACTTGTTAAGATTCCCTCGTTTAAGAACCCTCACACAGAAATCACGTCTGACATCTTCCCTGGGTTCATCTATTATCTCACACGAGGCTGCACCCCAGAAGACAGTGAGGCCGGTTTAAGAACCAGTGCCCTCTGCTCCTTCCACCTGTTCCCCAGCGGCCAGCCATCCAGACATCACGCATAGTCTCACTCTAACCCAAGGGCATCCCAAAGGCCGGCACGAGGAGGTTCCTGATGAGGCCAACGTTAGAAAATCCTACTCATGCCTTACGAGGATCTTAAGATAGCCAAGTCACTTTTGACATTCCAAAATAAAAACAATTGTTGGTTTCTCATCTTATAACTATGATTTATCTAATTTGCAAATGATTTTTTTTAATCTAACAATTACCGCTCTGATTCTTTATAACAAATAATCATAGCATTTCTGCACACTTTATCTATTGTTGAAGCTCTTGTATTTGGAAGCCAAAAGTCAATTAGAAGTTAATAGTAAAAAGGAACTGTTTAAATTTTTCTAATTAACATTAATGATATAGCTAAACAGAATAATCTAGAAAGAGAGGTTCCTTTGAAACACTGTTGAGAAAAGATAAAATATCTTACTTGATTGTCTGCAAAAACCGCACTCGGTCATTGATCTCATCTGGGATCTTACTGAGAATTTGTTTAAGTGCCCGCGCCTTTTCATTTAGGTCCTGGAATTCGGGTTCTGGTCGTTCAATCATATACTCTGATAAAGTAAATACACAATCAAAAGCCATGCAACTCCCAAAGTCAAGTCTAAGAATGCTTAGTGTTAGTTGTAAAATGAGGAAGAAGAAAAAGAAAGGCCAGAAAATAGGAAAGACAGTGTTTCAAGCATAAGTAAGTGAAAGTCAATCCAGTTTGGTGACAGTGCAGGGATCCAACAAATCGAATGGGGTGGGGGGGACACTACACATTTTCAATTCTGTAAATTCAAGTCTAATTTTAGAAAATAGGAGGCTTAACCAAATTCACGAAGCCTCTGTAAAATTTTACAAGGCACCCTTAAAAGAAGTGGCATTATTCATAATGAAAACAAAGGCAGCATCTACTAGAGAGAAAGATGAATTTAATATTCTCAAACCCCTAGAGTCAACAGCCAATGGCTCATTATTGATCCAAACCATGAGGATGGACTAACAGCAATCTTGAATACATTTTGGGGCAGGAATCACAGATCAATCCTGGGAAGAAGTCTCATTTGAGAACTGGAGTCGGCCAAGTAAATTCACCATCAGAGTCACAGTAGAGCTGTAAGCACTATAGCTCATCAATTCACCAATATACTCTTATCTAACAGGCTGGAAACATTCAATTTTAGAAAAATGACTATACTTTTTTATTGTAAAGTCAATGAAAATTCTACTTTATTACAACCACAGAATTAGTTAAAAATACCTACTTTTTTCATCTCCCTCTCTCTTAGTAAAAAGAATGGAAATTATACTGCTGTAATGCCCTAAATTAGACTAGCTAATGAACATAAATGAAATGCATTCCTAATCATTAGAAAATTTGGGGGGAGGGGAGTGGAGGTTAGCTATTACATTGCTCCCCAAAACTGGTACTTGAAAAAGAAAAACATAAAACAGTATTATGTTACGCTAAAGAAAAAAAAAGCAAAACCTGCAGTCTTTCTAACAAAGGTTTGTTTAGCAGTGATACAAAATAAATCCCACTATTTCAAAGAGCTTGTCATTTAGTTAAACTACCACTGTTCAAACATCCTATCAGTGGGAGAGAGGGATGGGGAGAATCACGAATAAGCAACTCAAATAACGACTTCATAAACAGAAGATAATACTTTTCTACTTTATATAGATATTTTTCCCAACCAACCCCCTCACACATACACAAAGTAACAAAGGAGAAAGAGCAGGAAGAAGGGAGGAAAGGGAGAAGGGGAGAGAAAGAAAGAAAACTATTCTGCCAAATAATGATTCAGAGGAAAGTGCTTTCCAACAGTTTGAAGACATCTAATACCTTCTACGTCATCAGCTGCCATACGGAGAAGGTACTCTGTGAAGTTAACTTCTACACTTTTTTTCTCTAAAATTTTCATAATGATGTCTTGTGTGAGACCTGGATTTTCTTTTTCAGCCTGTAAGGAGAAAGCTAGCTTTGAAATGTGTAAACAAACATTTAAAAGAGAAATCTTAGTTGTATTAGAATCTGTTCTGAATTTCTTACACCGACAAAAATAAAGCTAGAAATCTTTGTAAACCACATTCTCATGGTGCCAGTTATTTCTATGCTGTTTGAGCAGGTGCAGCAGCTACCTATACATTTTCATTCTGAGTATAAAGCACTTAACAGTTTCTACTCCTTTATAATAGTCTCTTGTAGTTGAGCAACATACACAGAAAGGTATTTTTGGCTTTCTATCAATTACTCTCATCTTTAGTTCAAATATACCTTGCATTTTTAGAAGTTTCACTCTTGAGTTACACTTGAGGGTGAAAGAGTATCTGAACTCTACAGTATTTTACAGATCCTTTGCATTTAAACAAAAAGAATTCCAGGACAAACAAAAAACAAAACCATTTGCTTAAGACACACAATTCCTTAACTCCTTTACTTGGGAATTTGTACTGACCCCCAGAATATCTCTTCAGAGAGTTAGCATCCTCTGGATAAAGTCCCGGTTGAGTTCTCTTTCTCACCTCGCCATTAAGTCAGAAACAACTCTGGGTGACTCTCCAGCAGATTTTGAAGCCTGTGAATCACATGAGGAGACTGCTCCCCTGCAGAATTGCAGGGGCATTTGAACCGCCAGAGGCACAACCTATAGATTAGCAGCTCAATTCTTACGGACTATGTGACTTTCTGCTTTTATTTTTTCTTAGCAAGAATATTTCCTTGACTGGTTTACTAGAGCGTCATTAATCCTTTTACTGCACTTTACTGCACTTGTTTCATCAATGAATTTCCATTAGTCCTTATGTTACTTACACTTTCACGGGCACTAAAACCTTCCAGTCATTTCAAGAATGAGCATTAAGAACTCCAAGTTATCAAAGTTAATTGCCAGATTTTTGTTTGCTCTGATAATTTTGTTGCATTTTTGTTTTTTACATTTAATTTTAGAGTCATATACCAGTTTTGCTTCTTTTGTAATACCTGCCAATTTCAATCATTCAGTTGGTGACTTCGTTTCTTTTGATCTAGTATTAAACAGCAAATATAAACACAATTTATGACCTTAACCAGATGGCAATCCATTTGCTTCCCTATGTGTCAAGCATCCTTAACCTGTATCTCTTCAATTCCACTCTGCTATCACGGCACATGCAGCTTTATTCTGTTCCTATTGCTCTTTTCATTACAACATCTTGTTTCTCATCAAATCTCACATCTTGAAAACTGAAAGGTTGTGGAATGATAGAGGAGAAGAAAATATACACATTTATCTCAATTTGGGGATCACTGAAACTGCTGTCAACTGCTATTCAGAGAAATTCTGAAAGATGATTAATAACAATGAAGTATGCATTACTGAATTTTGCTTCTTTTTAAATCTATTTTGATTTTTGGTTCCATAGATACGCTTAAGGGAGACCTGATAGCCTAGTGCTAAGGACATTTAAGTTAACAAAGAGCAACGGCTGGTTAAAATTATCGATTTTGTGGATAATGAACTGGAAATACGAATATTAAAGATTTTCTGGTCCTTGAAGGGTTTCAAAGTAACTTTTGAAGAAATCTATGGTTTTAAATAGCTAAAACCTCAATTTTTTTAACACATGGCCTCTTTTGATGTAATTTTAAAATTTCAATCTACATTAAATATGGTTTTATTGTTGTTAAGTGCCAATGAGTTGCTTATGACTCATAGCGACCCTATGTACAACAGCTCTGAACCCTGCTCTATCCTGTGCCAATTTCATCTTCTCTGACACACCCACCCCCATAACGCCACTGAGTCAATCTATCTCATCCACAGCCTTCCTGAATTGTGTTGTCCCGCCATCTTCCCATGCACGGTGTCCCTTTCTAAGGACTGGTCCCTCCTTGTAACATGCTCAAAGTATGTTGGATGGAGCTTCAGAATCCTTGCCTCCAGGGAGCATCTTGGTTTCACCCTCTCAAAGGTGAATCTGTTCTCCTAGCAGTCCAAGGTATATTCGATACTCTCCTCTAGCACCACAACCGAAAGGTATCAATTCTTCTTCCAACATCCATAGCTTTCTGATACCTAGCAAGTAACTGCGAAGACCACGGCTTGGATTAGGTGCACTTTAATTGTATCAATGCAAAATAATTATGACTGAGATATTTTATATGTGTTGTCTTTTTGGGGAGCACTAAGTATCTGATATGTTCTATTTCCTCAGTGAAGCATAGCTAAATTCAAACTAGTCATATGTTAAGTGCTCAATGACAATATGTAATTTGGGTTTTATTTCCTTTTTCATTTTTTTATATTAGTTTACATACAAAAGCCATATAAATATATCATGTTTTATGTATATACTTTGTTTCATGACTGAACAATTCAGATCTAGAGAAAAGGAAAAACATATGCTGAGTGATTAATTATATATTCTCTTAAAAGAGTCTCAAAAGAGTCTTAATTCATCCCGACATTGTTTTTGTTTACCCCTCAGTGAGAACTGACTACTGGCTCTTGAGTGGATATTCAGATAGAGGAAATATTTTCCACTAAAAAAATACTGCTTGACTTTCCAGAAGGCATTAGCTAAAATCACTTTCTGGAAGTGTTTTAAGCTTTAAATACTAGCCTACTAAAGCACTGAGTATCTCAAAAAGTTTTCCACTAGAAGAAAATAAATTTGCAATTATGACATGGCATTTGGTTTATACATACCATACACTTTAATAACATACACGAACTGTTTCTCACCTTAATGAAAGCCGCTCTCAGTGTCTGAGCTGCTGACAGATTAACTCGTTCTAGCTGCAATATAAAATTAAAATCATTAGTATTATCAATTTGGGAAGTAAATGAAATTTCTGATATTTCATTCTGTAGTAAGCACAGTGAAACACATATTTCAATTAACAAAAATATCTGTTCATGACCCTAAATTATTTTCATTCTTCAAGCAGAGAGGCTATTGAAAATTCTCACGAAGGACCATGGAAAACAAAGTTAATATATAAGTTGTTTTTTCTATTCAATTATAAAAATTAGGCATACTTTACCTTCAAAATAGGTTTTTAAGATAAGCACAAAGTATCTATATCCTAAGTCCCTAAAGAAAGCATAAACATTTACATAAATTATTGAAAATATAGAGTATTCAAAGTTAAACTAGGTTTTTTTTATAACAGAGCTGTAAGCGGGCTGATTACGATCATGGTAAGAGGGTGTGTCCATGCAGCAATAATGAACCTTTTTAAAATAAAAGATTCTTTCAATGTAATACCTTCCTTTTAATTTGCTTCTAAGTTCCTCAGTGAGACATTAAACTGAGATTAGTTTATTTTCAAAATAGCTCTGGTAAAATGTCTGCTTAATACTCAACCTGAAGTTGCATATTATCTGTGGATTTCAGAGATTATTCTTAGCTGTTAAGAGTCACGCTGCCAACCCAAATGCACCCAAATGACTGCCAAACCAAATGCACTCGAATGTGGTTCAAATTTACCAGCTGTTCCATGGGAGAGATGGGGAAGCTCTTCCTAGGATTCACTGCCACTGAAAAGCTACTGGAGTGGCAACTATTAGTCAGTCCCAACCCAACAGTATAAAGCAAAACAACACTTTATTTTCTATAGTGTCACAATTAAGGATTGGTTACCTAAAATACTGAATCAAACATTCAACAAAAGGCTCTTCATTTTCATATTAAACATGTAAGGTTTCTAATCTGAGAAGATATCTTTACTATATATTTTTTCCCAATGAGCTAAGAAGGCAATAGTATCATAAAAATAACCACTTTTGTAGAAGTGCTAATTCCTAGGGCTTAAAACAACCCCAAGTTTTATTACACTCAGATGTTCTTAAGTCCCTAAAGATTGGGCTTGTTGACACAAAAGTAAAATTTAGCTGCACATTATTGTTTTGTTTGTTTGTTTCATCTGAGATTACAATGAATAGCAGAAAACAATGTAACCATCAGAGATGTTTACAGGTGTCACTTTCATCGCCATCAAGTCAGACTCTTGTAAGCCACTGCAGTTACTTCTACAGAAACCTTACATATACTATTTCTTTACGAAGCTGTGGTAGACTAATGACAAAGAGTTAGGCTGCCAACCAAAAAAAGGCAAAGGGTTGACAGCCACCAGTGCTTCAAGGGAGGAATATGAGCAGTCTACCCTTGTGACATTTACTGCTCCTAACAATGCACCAGAGGGTGAGCCTGCAGCTGCTTCTGACTCAGTGGTCCACGGGGACAACAACAAACGCTCCTTTCGATCTGTGAGGCAGTGCAAGCACACATCCTGCTTTATGAACGGCATCAAAACGTCCTTATCTAGGGAAGCACCACTACTTTAAATCCATTTCTTTTCTAAACAAAACATTCAGAGTCACCAGAAATCTTCCTTTTCTTACACTTACCTTAAACATAAGACAAAGGCACCCAATTAAATCTTCCAAGGTAAACATTTTCTCTCCAAAGAACTATTATCTATAAGCAATTTTACAAATTTTGTATAAAATCTAAATGTGGAAGGTGCAGCACAAGTGGCCCACGTAGTAGGCAAGTAAAGCAAAGAGCTCTCTAAGGCATAATGAAAAGATGTGGGTGTATTTCTAAAAATAAGGGCAATTTCGATCTTCACTTAATTTATTTAATGATAGTAGATACTACAGTATTCTGAGAACGCTGGACTGATCTCTATTCTCACTGTGCAAGAAAAGGCAGATGCAGAACACACAGGATGAGTGTTTCCACCCGATAGGAACCCATTTCCTTATTTGGGTTTGCACGACATTCTGACCTCTTGCTGTATGTCAAAGGTCTGAGTCAGATGTGTGCTGTCAAGTATCAGCACTATTAACTCTTTCTCCACAAGCTTGCCTGATATATGTCTTAAGACACCCACAAGCAGGAAAAAGGCTACAGAAAGTCACTGAAGAATTGATACATGTATCCAACCACTCATGAACTCTAGGTTAAAATTTTATGTGTAACTTAGGAGATTTAAAAAACAAAAACTCAACAAAACAAAGCCCAAAAGAGAGGTAGAAAGAAGGACTTAAACACACAAAATCAAATCTGTGAGTTGTGAAGTGTCTCAGTAGATTTCTTCTGGGAGTCACTGTGGGATAATGCATTGTACACCCACAAATGTTGCAAGAAACCCAACGGGCTTTCTAATTCATCACGGTATCAACACTCCTCCGAGCAATGCCAGGAAGATACGCAAACACGTATTTTTAGAAATGTGACGTAAGTCGGTTCTGGTGGGCTCTGCTGGAGCGCTGCGACCCAGGGGCTGTGTGTGTCTCCGGCAGTCTGAGTCCCTCACCGGCGCCCAGGGATCCAGACGGCAACTTCTGCGACTGACAACCTCAGAAACCACTGCAGGGGCAGACGAGTTGGTTCTGACTAGAGGACAGTCTCTGAGACCTCAACTTCCTCTCTCAGCAATATTTATCTGAATTCTTTCAAGAAGAGTGAATAGGGGATGGGGGACCGGGGAGAAAAGTGCAACAATGAATGACTGGAAACCCTAAGTCTCTGTAAACTTCCACTAAAATTAATTTAAAACAAAAAAAGAAGTGCTAAAAAAATTTTTTATCTGAATGATTTCCAAATCCCTAAATTCACTCCTACTATTGAGCATTTTAGTGAATTTCTGTCTCATGGTAAAAAGTACTTTTCTTTCATGTCTCGGCGTGTGATATACTATCCTATTATGAACTACTGCCTACTAAGCACCTATTATTACGGGTCAGACACTGTACAGGGCTTGCTCACCATCACAAGGTATCAGTGACTAAGGAATCACACACATTACACCGAGGAAGACACGTCCCCAATGTCACACAGCTATGAAGCAGATCAGAATCCACATCACATCTGCCAGGCTCAAACACTAGCGTTTAGGTCACTAATGCCGCAGGGACTCTCTGCTCCAGGCTGCGGTCTCTCCTAGCATCTCGTCAAGCACTTAAGAACCAGCAAATTCCTGAGTTTCTATCATGTGTGAGGAAGTCAGTACGAGAGACAGGATGAAACAGAATAGAATTCCAGAACTCAAGCAGCTCAATTTAAAGCAGCAATACTGGCTTGGTTATATTCACTCCTGAAAGAATTAGGACTCTGTCCCTTTGCTGTCGTGTGGAGCAGACTCATAGCTAACTCTTCACTGAGTTTTCAAAGTCATAAATCTTACGGATGAGGAAACTGTCCATCTTCCTCGCTCAGAGTCACTGGTAAAGTCAAACCAGAAGAGAGGTGAAGCCTTTGCATTGGCCGTGCAATCCTCTACTGACTACGCTAGCCCTGGGATGGGCTCCCTGCCAGTGAAGAAGTCTTTAAAGATTCCAAAGTGGTCCTTGGCTTGTGCGGCCTCTTACAACAGTTTTCGGTGGAAGTTCTCCCACTTAAAGTAGAGGGCGGTAATATGTGAGAGTGTAGTTATTTTATGCAAAGTCAGAAAGGAAAGGATTTGTACTTTCTTCTTATCACTGACATATAGCACTTTAATAAGCCTGTGGGATAACAGTCTTAGGTGAAGAGTGAAAAAACTAATGGTAATAATTTTATTAGCAGCAATTTATAGTCATATACCATATTTTGGGCTGGCCAGAGGACAGAACTTATTATTACACCTTCTATTAATGGATACTTGTAAGGCACTGTTTGGGCCTCAGACATACACATAGGCCTTCCAGGTCTTCAGGGGTGGGGGGAAGGTGGGAAGAAGAGGAAAGGGTATGTAACATGTCATCTATTTCAAAGGGAAGAAAAAAAGTGCTATTAAAAAATACCAGAACTGATAACAGGACTAATCGACTTTAGTTATCACATTCCTACCCACAAGTCTGCCTCTTCTCAGTTTTGTAAATTTCTCCTATAATTTACACTTGGTAGTTTCTGACTTATTATCAACTTCAAGCTTATACACTTTCAATTAATTATAAAAGTACTTTCAAAGGTTACACATTAATGATCCCAGGAAACTCACTTATTATACTGATCCCACCATAACTATAAATTCATTACTGTATCTTACTTTCTAGTATCAAGCTAGTTTCCTAAACATCTAATAAATGTTGCTGTTGATGAGTGCCACTGAGCTGAGCACGGCTCACAGGAACCCTAGGAACAAAAGGCCTGAAGTCTTTGCATAACTATCGTCATTTATCGGAGTTCATAGAGTTTCCAGAGACACACAGGAAAAGAAATCTACTTAGAACATTGGCTCTTGAAGTTGTAATGAGTTTTGAATAAAACCTTCTGAAAGCTGCTTTAGCTTTTTTTTTTTTTTGCTTTAATTTAGTAAAGGTCAAAATAATAATGTTAATTAGTCTGAACTGTCTACAAATATACTTCCTTCCACAATAGTAGGCATGTCTCCATAGTGACCCTCCTTCATGTTTCACAAAATATTAATCCTATTTTTTAAAAAGAATTTAACTGAGTCAAGTCAAATGAATAACTCTAGGTACATGATCTGTGATTCAAATGACAGTAATGCATCAAGTGAGAAAACAAAAGATCAAAGCTCATGGTATCAAGAGGCCACCTATTTCCTTTTGCACTGAAAACTAAAACGTACTGCTATCAAATCGATTCCAACTCACAGCAACCCTCCAGTGGGCTTCTGGAGTTGTGTTAATCATAATCTGGGCAGACAGTCTCACCCTTCTCCTAAAAACGAACCGGTGAATCACAACTTAAAACGTCTCAGCTAATAAACACAAAACAAAGTACTTCATTAGGAAAAGTAAATGCACAAACGCAGTATGTTGTATGCTACACATACTCAACACCCAGGCCACCCCTGCAAAACCTGCAGACTCACTGCCTCAGAGCTGGAAGTGACTCATGGCTAACCCTTTCCCGGGTTTCCAAGCTCTAAGAGGAGACTGTCCATCCTTCTCCGGACGAGCAGCTGATGGATGGACGATAACCAGCACAGAGGTGTGGGCTCTGGGTGAACAGCACAACGCCCCACGGCGAGGCCACCAGCGCTTCACTAGAGCCTGCTGTTAAGAGTCACAAGGTGCCTGGTTCGCTGTCTTGTCAGAAACAGATCAGCAGAACTTTCACCCTCATTTGCTTTAGTCTTCAAGTACAGCTGAAACCTGTTTGGCAACACAGCAACGCACAAACTTCACTGAGCGAGGTATTGCATTTGAGGTGCACTGGTCAACACACACAGAACCTGAGAATTCTGAGGCTGACCCACCAACACTTCACTGTAGCAACAGAAGCAAGCACATAAATAGAACTTGATACCAGTGTAAGCACTTTAAAGTACTTTTTATACACATAAACACTGAGAGAAGACTGCATAACCGAAGCCATAGTGCTATGTGGTGGTGTGTGCCGCTGAGCGGGAACTGACCCACAGCTGACCCTCCAGTGAGTTTTCATAGGCAGGACTGTGGGGTTTACTGTGCTCCAATGGTAGACTTTATTATTTTTCAACCTAAATGAAGGAAAAATTGGGTGTTTCTAGGTCTAATTCACTTAATAAGAAATATTAACAGTTGTATATTCTACCAAGTGTTGGCAAAAAAATAATTGCTTCAGATGGTTCTGAATGAAGCAGAATTACTGAGTCAGAAGAAACGCTTTTTGTTAATAACAATATAAAACCTTTGTAATATGAAAAAAACCTACCTGGTTACAAAATTATTTATCACTTGTTTCAAAATAAAATAACATGTTACTTTAAAAATGGTGTTTTTTTCTTAAAGTAACTCTTTAAAAGACTTAGAAAAGCAAACAGGCAGCCCTGCTGTTTTGGGCTGTTGTGGTTTTTTTTTTGGGGGGGGAGAACTGTACATTTCTTCCATATCTAATGAATCTATAAGGAATTATAATTACATGAGAATCAGATCTAAAATCTGGAATAAGGTTTCTGTAAATATATTGCAACTTGGAGACCTATTTTACAGAACATTAATATGCATGCAATCTGCAAGGACTCTGAACTCTGCAGCAGCTGATTAAACAAGACCACTCTGGGCAGAGTTTCATTAAATTGAGAATTATCAAGTTCAAGGAATGCCGTAAGTAACTTTGCCTCATAAGTTTAAGTAACTATACTAAAATCTACCCAAGTATAAAGATGTGTTCTTCTAGCTAAAAAAAGGAGCCCTGATGGTACAGGATGTAGGGAATTGCCCTGCTCACCCAGGGGCCTGAAATGACCAGCAGCTCTATGGGATGAAGAAAGGCCAGCTCCATTCTGTGCCAGTACAGCCTGGGAACACCCTGTGGAGGCTCAGCTATAAATCACTTTCAACTTGACAACAATGAGCTGAGTTTTTTAACTAACTAGTTAAAAGGGAATTGTGGTGGTGTAGGGTGTCACCTGTCTGCCTGCTAACCAAAAGGCCAGTGGTTCAAATACACCAGCATCTCTGCTAGAGAAAGATTTTGTCTTGGAAACCCAACGGAGGGTTGCTATCAGTCAGAATGAATTTGATGACAATGTGTTTACCGGCTAAAAATCGGTTCAAACTGTTTAAGCTTTTTAGCTCTTAAAATACAGTGAACAAGATTTAATGAAAATGCTTCATTTAAAAGAGTAAAATTCATTTTTAATAAGGTACTATTTTCTGTAAGATCAATTCTGATAACCATCTTTATGGTTAAATCTGTACAACATGGAAAAACAAAGCCAAACTGTACTCTCATTTCCCATATTTGTAGATTTCTAGGAAACCTCATGTCTGAACTATTTTGTTGATGCTGTTGCTACATACTATAGTCAGAACCGACTCATAGCTGAATCTCCAGTGGGTTTTCAGAGGGAGTTAACTGCCCATCTTTCTCCCACAGAGCACCTGGGGAAGTCAAAGTGTTTCCTGGGTTGCCGACCAACTCCTTACCACGAGGAACGTCTATGCCTCTAACCATGCAGGTTGCTATTATGTGCCATCATGTCAACTATGACTCATAGCAACTCTGTGAACAATGGCTCTGAATCCTTCCCCATCCTGAGCCAATCTCACTGTTTCTGACACACCTGACTGCAATGCCACAGTCACCGTCAACCTTCTCATCGAGAGTCCTCTTACAGTGACTTTCAATCCTTCCAAATACAATGCCCTTTTCCAAGGCCTGACATTTAATAAATTGCTTAACGTATATGAGATGGAGTTTCCAAATCCTTGCCTCCAAGGAGCAAACTGGTTTCACTCTCTCCAGAAGAGACTTGTTTTCTCGAGAGTTAATGGTATGTGTTCAGTACTCTTCTCCAGCACCACAGTTCAAATTCTGTCATCCTTAGTCACTGTTTGGCTCTCAGATACACAGCAAGGAACTGAGAAGGTCATGGCTTTGTTAAGGCACACCTTAAGTCTTTAGACTGACTTTGGTGCTCTTTAGCACTCTGTAAAGTGTCCTGGACAATAGATTTTCTAAATGCATCTCGTCTTTTGATTTCCTGACCACTGTTGCCAAGAGTGCCGACGGTGAATCCAAGCAAAATGAAATCATTAACAAGTATAATTTTTTCTGCATCTATTGGCCCGTGGTGAGAATTTTTGTTTTCCTGATGTAGAGTTGTGATCCATATTGAAGTCCGTGGTCATTGATCAAGCATTTCAAGTCGTCCTCTGTTTCAGCGAGCAAGACTGTCTCATCTGAATCACGCAGGTTGTTGACAAGTCTTCTCCGATCCTGATGCCACACTCTTCTTCATAAAGTCTGGCTTCAAGAAGTATCTGTTCCGTTTGTATACTGAAAAACTTTGGAGAAAAGATACAGCCCCAGTGTATTTCTTTCTTGACACTGAATTAAGCAATACTGAATAGACCATGATCCCTGGTTCTATTCAAACAGCCTCCTGGTCTAGGTATAGGTTTTAGACAAGTGCAATCAAGTTCTGGAATTCCCATTCTTCTCAATGTCAAGCCACAATTTGTTTTGATCCACACAGCTAATGTCAGATGGATCTTGAATGAAAGGATAGAGTACCAGAAGGAAGTCTCCTGTTTTATTGACTATGCAAAGGCATTTGACCATGTGGACAACAACAAGCTGTGGCTAACATTAAGAAGGTTGCGTAACAACCCTAAGAACAACAGATCAAAAAGTGTGCATTGTTTTGTCCCATCTTCCTGACCTTCATCATGTCCAAGCCACCGCTGCGGCTTCAGTCCTTCTCAGGGAGGGTCTTCCTGGCTTTGGATGGCTCTATACTTCTCTTACCATCATGTCTTTTTCTGAGGACGAGTGTCTCTGGATAATATTCCCAAAGTATGTGAGAAAAAGTTTCATAGGAATACCCCGGTTGCATTTCTTTTCAGACAGATTTGTTTGTCCTTTTGGCCATCCAAGGAATGTTAAATACTCTTCACCAATGCTGTAACTGAAAAGTATTGATTCTTCTTCCCTCTTCCTTATTCACTGTCCAATTTTCACAGGCATATGAAGCAAATGAAAATACCACAGCTTAGGACAAGCGCACCTTAAACTGATATCCAAGGAGAGGTCCCAGACAGATCTGCCCCATGCAACATGTCCTTTCAATTATTTTTTCTTGTGATTTTAACAACACTTTACAGAAAAGTGAGATTTTCAGTCAATTCATTGTTGCACATTTTTACCCCCTCCCTTTCCCTTCCCCCAGTTCCCTTTTTTAAAAAAATTTTCACTATTTTTTCTTTTTTACTGCAATTTTGAGGAAAAATGTGCAATAATGAATGAATGGAAATCCAAGTTCTGGGTAAACATTAGTCTTTTAAATTCTTGACTGCTGCTACCAGCCCAAAGGAACACTGAGAGCCCAAAGGCACACAGCTCAAGGCCACCAGCTCTTCAGTTAGACACAAAGATGGGCAAAATCCTCCTATGCCATTTACAGCCTCTGAAACCCCGCTGGGTCAGTCATGGGCTGGTTCTGACTCGATGGCACCTAACATCATCATCAGTATTCATCCTCACAGTCCATTTCACCAGAATACCATGGCCTATATAACTGTTCAGCAAAGTCAAGATTCATACACAGCTCATACTTTTGAATGTAAGAGAAACTTTGAGCCTTTCTAAGTTTTTTTGTATAGCCATTTAATCTAACATTATTTCATAGAGTTTCAAAATTCCAAATATACAAAAGAACTGTCAACCAAGTTTGCTGATTTCATGTCAGAGAGAATGAATTTATCATTCCTTACTGTTCCCAAGGCTTAAGAATACAACAAAGAGCAAATGCAGTTAAAGCAAAAGAATGTGGGAGAAAGTACTGTGAAACTAAATACTTTGAAGTATTTTATTTAAGACAGAATAAAGTACTGGAATGGTGAAGGCTTCCAGGCTATAGCAGAAACAACCAGGCTAGTAAGCTGCCTCAAATATACTTACCCCTCAACCTTCATGTGTCTAACTGCTTTTTCTCTCTCCTCTCACCTTCACAATAAGATTTATCTTGACCACTAAAACATGGCCCATATACTGCTTTCTTTAACTTTTAGTCCACTTTTCTACTTTTCTAGTGCTTATTCCAACTTGTTTATGGTCCCATTATGCTCTTGTGTGTTTTGGGTCAATGATCCTCCCTTTCTCCCTACAGCTTAACATCTGAAGGGGAACAGCCGATCTTGGGGTGTGTTTTTTTTCTCTCTGCCTTTGAACACTTCTGGCACAGTGCCGAGCATGGAAGTCAAATGTCATTTTTATATATATCTGCAAATGCGTAACTAAATCAGGCACTAAGGAACGACAGAGAACTTAGGAGAACATGTTTGCCCACTCACCTCATTAAACACAGGATACATAACTGCGTAGAGAGGCATAGAAACCAGGGAAGTGGTCTCAGCTTCATTCTTCATCTCTTCCATTGTCATCCTCATTCAAAAGCCAACTACAGGAGAAAAAGAAGTGCTAAAATGCAGAGGAATCTTCATTCACTGCAGTGTTTCTTCCCTTTTTTTTATGACAAAAGAATGGGGCATGGGACATATACTGACCTGGTGAAAGGGAAGAAGGAGGAAAAGATATTTATTATATTATGTAGGAACAACACCAGTAACTGTCCTTAAACTAAAGGCTTTACCTTATGAGAAGCTGACTGGTTAATAGTTTCTTTGTGAAAGTAACTTTGGCCAATAAAGTTCTCTTTTCCTCCCTAGACCTCTATTTTATAGTGAGTATCCCTCATCAAGCAACAGTGCGTAAAGCACAAACTCGTTTACTCGGAAGTCCCAGAGATCTTTTATGAAACATCATGGAAAAACGATGTATCCAATTCAATCATAACTATTTAAGGAAAACTATCAGTAAGAAGTTTAATGATGGCATTTATAGTTAACATGAAATTATAATCATGAAATAAATGCATGACTATATAAGCATGTGTAAAGGCCCAAAGTTAAAAAATTTAGAAAAATGGAGGAATCTGGATTTATATTAAAGTCTTTTCTTGGTCACCAATTTTGTCACTAGAAAATAATAACAGAAACTTAATTCACAAGCCCTTAACATTTAAAGACATATCAGGGCACAGAGATTTAAAATTAGAAAAATTCTACCAAATGCAATCTAGTGGGGAGAAAAGCATCTGTTAAGTAATTTTCATCAGTGGCACATTTTGGTATTCAGGAGAACTCCGAGATCTTCTCTGACCAATCCTAACACAAGAGCTGAGAAAAGACAAGAGTTATTCTCGATGAGAGAGAAATTTTATCTTTGAGAGTTTAAGGGAATATGTTGGGGTTTTGATGAGGAAAAATCCATGTTTCCTTTGTTGTTGTTGACTGCTGTTGAGTCAAGCACAACTCATAGTGACCCTGTGGAAAAAAGGCCTGAAGCCCCTCTACAACTATCGACATTTATCCAAGTTCAGAATTTCCGGAGACATGTTGTTTAGGAAGTGGATGCCATTCCAGCTTCCAAACCTGTCTAAAACTGGGAGTTCCACCAAACACTGTCCACCACGGGTAACCGTTATGGCATTTGACACCCCAATGGCACAAGGTTCAGAATCACAGTGAACCCAGGTGACTTCAGGACAGCACACTGACAGAAGAGTGCTGTACCACTCACAAGAACGCTCCTCTAAAATATAATAACGACTGACTTCTAAATTCAAAGGCCCTCCCCGAAGTCTTGCTGACTCTAAATATGGGGCTTAAAGAAAAAACAACCAATATGGTTTTGTTGTTATGTGCCGTTGAGTCGTCCATGATGTATATAGCAACCCTATGTACAGTAGCTCTGAATCCTTCCCTGTCCTGAGCCAGTCTCACTAACTCCAACACATCAACCCCCATTGTCCCAGCTACTGTATCAATCCATCTCATCCGGTGTCTTCCTCTCCTGCGCTGTCTGTCTACCCTTCTGAGCATGATGTCCTTCTGCAAAGACCAGTCTCTCCTGGCCACATGCCCAAAGTAAGTGAGACGGAGCTTCAAAATCCTGGCCTCCAAGGAGAGACTTGGTAAACAATAAAAATTACCATAATCAGTAAGGACAAGTGTGATCGCAGCAATACATCTTATCATATTACATAAAGTCAACAACTTTAAGGAATTTCTAGCATTTTAATACATTTTCCAATTATAAAGTGTTTTCACATGCATTATAATAACTAAATTTACAGTAACTGTCATTATAATTTTACATATGAATCAGGATTTGCTATGTAACACAAAACCAAACTTAAAGTGAAACCAAAGTACCCTATATTGTATTTACCCACAAAAGTGCCAGAAGTTAGTTATTTACTGAATATGTGTTTAGTGCCAATTACAGAAGATGAACTGATGCACGTGAGTGGGAATAAGAGTACTGTATACTCCATGGACTGAAAAGAACAAAAAAACATGTGCTGGAGAAAGTACAGCCAGGGTGCTCCCTGGAGGCAGGGTGGCTATGCTCCAGCACACGTATTCTGGGCATGTTGGTAGAAGGGCAAGTCCTTGAAGAGGCTATCAGGCTTGGAAGGAGGAGGGTCAGCAAAGGAGAAGAACCACCTCCACCAGATGGATTAACACAGTGACTATCATCCTGGGCTCAGGGGCATCAGACCTGACGAGGATGGCACAGGCTACGGCAAGGCTCAGACCCGCTGTTCACTGGGTCGCTGTGAGTTGTACTCGACTCGATAGCACCTAACAACAGACCTGGTCGTAGTAAATAAAAAAGGTTATGAAGGATTGAATGCTGACCTACATGGTTTTAAGATACAACCAAAACCCTCAAGGAAATACTGGCAGAGGGGATTTGTGGCTTAAAAGCTGCAATAGTCTATGCTGTTTGGAAACCACTTACCATTCTCCCATACCATCCCTAGCAGTGAAGGTGGAACCCAACATACACTGAAACAATTTCTTTCTAATAGTTCTAAATATTGAAAGTTTGTCCTGTTTCTGAGTGGAAATATGTTGCTTGGCTTCAAAGAAAAAAATAATTAAAAAGGACAAGCAAACTTTTATAAGAGAAAATCATCTTATTAAACCACTGATTTAGGTAGAGTGCTTCTGTTATCAAATGAAGTACAGACCATGTAACCTGCGGTCAGGGAAAATGTAAAAAGATCTGCTGTGATAAAAAGGCCTGAATAATATGTAACTATTTTTTAAAAACTGTTACTGTCAGGTTGATTCAATTGTTTCTATTTAACTATGCTATTTGATAGTTTATTTTTCTATTTTGAAAAAAAATTGTGTCTAGGTCTTCAGAATACATACACTTGGAACTAACAATGGACTCAAATGTAGCAGTCTCACTCAAAATGAAAAGGATAGGATAAAATGATATTGAAGGAATAGCAGAAGACATGAATATTAATGATGCCATCAAGTCACCATTCATTTCTTTAATAAATATTCATATTGTTATACAGTATCAGCCATGACACTAAATGCTGAGGAGACAGCAGTCTAAAACAGTATAAGCCTTTAGGATTAGATTGTGGAACAGGAGACAGAAGAGCAATTACGTGAAGAAGTCAAGTCAGTGGGCTAGGTAAGAAATAATACAGCATCACAAAAATAAAGAACTTAACCAGAACTTTGTCAAAAGTGTTTCAATCCCAGTAATAGATAACTTAGAGACAAACCCGTATTTTAATTCTTAATACACTTAAAAACATCCCCCAAAGAGTGAGTTGGTGGGTGCTTTTAAGTCACTCTTTCAGAGTTGTGTCCCTTTCACATACCGGTGGGACTCTGCGAGAGCTGAGTGGGTGGATGGTAGAGGCAACAGTTTTTAAGAATCTCAGTAAAATGATGGTGAAATACTTGGTAGGTTCAAAGGCATGGTCTCAGTACTTTTCTGTTCTAAACACGGGCATGTCCAAAAAAAGCAGACAAAGGTGAATGACTGCGCCAGGAGCGTCAGGAATTATTTGCAAAATAGTTGCTTACTTCTCAGCTTAGCTGCCTCTAAGACTCTTGTTCAAATACTTAATTGTTATCTTTTACAAATAACAGTATTATTTTGCATTGTGCTTAATACATAATATTCTAGTAAGTTTCACTTAAATAACTTGGAATTCTAATTAACAGTAAAATCACAGAACACATCCATATTACCTCTCTTCCGAAACTAATTTTATATTACAATCTGCTTTGTTTGTTGTTGTTGTTGATTCCCTTTGAGAGCACCAGTCATAGGATCCCATGAACAAAAGGCCTGAAGCCCTTCCACAACCAACACCATTTCTCAAAGTCCACAGAGTTTCCAGAGGCACGCTGTTTAGGAAGTGGGTGCCACTCCGGCAACCAATTATTGTCAGCTTTGTTTAAGGGGGGAAAACATTATGAGCTCAAATTAGAAACAGTATTGAGACACTACAGAAATGGTTCAGGCCTCCTTTGGTATTTCCTTCGCCAGCTCAGGGCCATCAAGGGAGTTCTAATGCAGTGATCCTACAGGACACAGGAGAAAGGCCCCCTTGTTCCCAAGGCTGTAAACCCTTACAGAAGCAGCCTGCTCCTGTCTGTTCCAAGGAAGCTGGTGGTTTCAAACCTTTGACCCTCACAAGCCACCTCGTCATGATGTTTATGCGTCAGGAGTTGTGCAGCCAAGCTGAAGGCTGGTAGCTGAGGGAGAAAGACGGACCATCACCTCGTGTGTGATTCACGGCCTCTGAAAACCTGCTGAAGGATCCATCAGCCAAGGCTCATCGGCACATAACGATGGGAAAATCTCCAAAGAACCAATCAACAACTCAACACTGAAGAAACACACACATTCTAAACCTGAGTTCCTGTATAGTCAATCTCATCAGAGCTGACAGGAAAGTGAAAACTAACAAATGCAGAGAAGGATTATTCAATATCCAACTATCATTTCATTGACTTCACTTTCAATTGAACAGGTAATTTTGTTATTCTTTTCACCTGCAACAAAGAGACTGGTGGGGACCAGTAATGGTCAGCAAAAGGGCCCTATCCTTGGACAATACTCCTTCCCCCCACTCTGGACGTGACCTGGTCTTAGGGTAAGTGGGCAACACTTAACAAAGTCCAGTAGTCTATGAGTACTATCCTCTGGGGCAAGTGCTGATTATTCACATACCAACAACTTAAGACTACTGACTTCAAATCTCTAATAAGGAAAAGTCTTTAAAGGGCACCATGCCTATCAATGGTCACAGTCTCTATTTCGCGCTGAATGAAATTAGTAAAAAATATTTGACACTGGCAATATAGTAAGATCTTCTTTATACCCTGCCATTTCAAATGTGCTACTCTGGAGGAGTGTCTTTCAATTCACAGTGACATCTGTATCTAACCACACAAACTAAACCTTCAATAAAAAAACTAACAAAAAACTCAACTACAAGTCTTCGAATTGAGACAAAATATATACTTTGAATCTAATTTATCCTAAAACATATATATTC